TCATGGATGTGGAGTTACCTCGGATTGGTTCCCATTAAAGAATGGGATAAGACAGTGATGTCCACTGTCCCCACTTGTTTACTTAATGTCAATTGAACCCTTGGCGGTTTCAATAAGGAACAATGCTTTTAAAAATGGTCGGAAGGTGAAGGATGACTGTGTTAAATTGACAATGGTACGCAGATGATGCCGTACTTACTCTTGGAGACCCTGTGAAATCTCTTAATAATCTGTTACCATGCATGGGGGAATATTCAGTCTATTCAGGGTTCAAACTGAATATTAATCAATAGCCTTACCTATTAATTTGCCACAGGAGACAGTTTTGATGTTAAAAAATGGGTTTGGTTTTAGTTGTGCTAAATCATCAATTAATTATTTAGGGATTGAAATTGCAAATGACGTAAGCAAAATAATGGAACTTAATTTTTTACCACTCCTTAAATATACAGTTAAAAAACTGAATGAATGGAAAATTTTTGAAATTTCTTGGTGGGGGCGGATTAATGTAGTAAAATCTAATATTTTTCCAAAATGGCTATTCTTTTTCAGATGGTACCCATCTGGCTGGGCAAAACTCCAAGAATAAATTCGAACTGATTATCTTTAAAAGTTAAGTTAGGTGGACTAGAGGTCCCCATCTTGAAAGACTATCAAGAGGCCTGTAGTTTATCGCATGCTTTTACTACTCAGCTAAAGAGTTCTATAGTGGAGATATGGTATGAAATCAAGCAGGAATTAACTCGAGTTGAAGGGTCTTCAGTAGAGTTAGGACCCTTATTTTGGATAATTCAGACAAAACATGGTAGTTCATTAACATATAGTTCTTATAGTGTCACTCTAAATTATATCTTGACTAGGTGGGTGAAAAGCAGAAAAGAGTTTAATTTGTATAACAAGTTAATACCCTCTCTCCCACATTATATGCTAGACTTAAAGTTACATAAATGGCTGGAAGATGGAGCGGTAATAATAGATAATCTTATAAACAATAATTCCTGTCTGATTTTCATTTGAGTGCGAAATACAAATTAGATTGTAAGGAAGATTTTAACTATCTTAGGATAAAAAATTTCTGTCAGGAATAAGTTTCTAGAGAAAAATTGAATAATATAATCTGTCTTGAAAAAGTATTTATTAAACTGTTTCCCAAAAAATTACCAGCTGATTGCTTACAACTTATGTCAAGAGATCCCGATAAACCTATAGAAGCAATCATTAATAAATGGCTGTAACAGAGCTCCTAGTACTCCAACCGAGTACCTCCGTTGATGGATGCTCCTAGTGCTTCCCGAGGGCTCCAAGCACTTCTCCAGACACCATAAGCACTGCAGACCGAAACTCACTTCCTTCCAGAGCGAAGCTGGAACAAGCTCTTAAAAGAGCTTAGTGATTATAGCTAGGGGAGTATGTAGAGTATAGCAATCCCCCAGTGTAGATGCAGTTGTTTCCCCCAATCATGAGACGAGGCTCTTGTTTCTTATATACACATTTTTACACAATGTTACCACCCACATGGTTTTGTAGAACAGCCAATCAAACACGTATAATACAGTTAAACACTCCCATTCATTCCCACAAAATCCTCCCCTCTGCCTGTGATATAATTACTGTACACAATGGGTTAATGTAATTATCACAGGCAGGAAAATACACAGTTTAACACAATATTCATAACTTTAAAAGTATACATCACATTCACATAAACTTACATATTCTGAGCAAGCATACGCAGTATACAAACATATGTCAAAATCATTCAAATTGGTCCAGTGGTTCAAAAGTTAGATGGAAGCCCTATTTGACCGACTGAGTTAGGCTGTGTAGCCGGTCTATCTTCTCCTCTATCCTGGAGACAATTGGCTTAAGCCAATTATCTCCAGGTACAGAAAATATCTCTATTTACAACAACAGTAAAAATACATAAAAATACATAATTCCTATTATATTGAACAGAACCCCCACATTCAACCTATTCCCAGATAGCTTGGATCTAAGCGCTCAATATATCCGAACAGCGCTCAGATCCGACGAACAGAATAAAATCGCCATGGGGTTAAAGTTTAGCAAGGGCTGATGAGAGGTTGAGGAGGGACAAAGCAGCCAGTTTCATTTAAAGGGCCAGAACAGTCTTTTAAACACCAATAAGTCCAAATAGTGTTTTTAAATGGCAATACTTCCCAGGGCCATAATCACAGGGCAAGAGGCTGGCAAGCAGGCCTCTCCAGGACCAAGTGGCGAAGGGCACTTAGTCACAATGGCAGTCTGACTTAAATGTTCTAATTAGTTGCGAACAATGGAGGGAGGCCTTATCTTTAGTATCTAAAAACATTTAATGTCTTAATTTAGTATAATGCCAATATAAATTGGCAAATAGATGGTATTTGGTTCCCAGCAGAACGAGTAAATTTTTTAATAACCAGGTTCATACATGTTGCCGCTGCAACACAGAAAGAGGGGACTATTTACACACATGGTGGGATTGTGGTCCACTACAGCTATTCTGGAAGATGATATTGCATAAGATTAAAACCATAACCTCTATAAATTTGGCGTTCTCTCCCCAAATATTTCTCCTCCAATTAAATATTAGACAAATATGCGGTAATTTAGCACCCTTCATAATTCACATATTAGTAGCTGCTAAGATTGCTATCGCAAGATATTGGAAACTTGCTTTGGTTCCAGTTTGGCCCATAGTTAAAGAACAATTGAAATTTCAAATAAAAATGGAATGAGGTCTACATAAAGGCCATCAACAAAAATATAGTCTATGGTTAAAAAAGATAGAAAATTGCTAATTCCTTGCACTTACCTTTCCTTATACAAAGGGTCCTTATGGTAGTCATTTTTGTTATTCTGATGTGAAGGCAGGGCTGTTGCTGCCATGGAATTCTTCTTGTTTTGTGGCATGCTCCTCCCAAGGACCAAGATGATTCAAAGGATATATTGATTGATTGTAATATGACCATGATTGTTGTGTGTCTAGGGTTTTGTCTGTAATGTTTAGTTGATTATGGAGTCTTTTTGTTTTCTTTTTTTCCTCCTTTATAATTATGTGGATACATTTATTGGGCAATCCAAAGAAAGAGAAATTAAATAGATTTGTTAACACAATTTTGTAAATGTGGAAAAATTAATAAAGAAGATTTTTGCTAAATATGTTTTAACATCCTGCAAAATACACGTGTCCTGTGACTTGTAAATGTAAATGACGAAGAATCCATTAATGTAAAATGTTGTGTAAGATTTAAAATATTTAATAAAGCGTATAATTAAAAAATAATAATGCCTCTAGTAACTAAATTCTTGCAGGTTTAGTTAAGACAGTTCTTAACTGATAAATATTTTCTAGATTGTTATCTAATTAATATTAATCTGGGTAACTCTTGATATTCTATTTTTATTTCACGATTTTAATTAGCATCCCATCTGCAGTTTGAGATACCAATCTTTATCATGAGCTATCATGAAACCCAATATGGGGGATTCAGTTTAGTTTTTACACAGAAAAATACTAGCTTTTAGTTATGTAATTTTCTATTAAGTATAATTGGCTTATATTTACTGATATTTACTGATAAATGTTCTGATAAATGTTCTGGATGTTAGATTATCAGATGTCAAGGGATTTCAAGAGATCGTCTAAGTCTTATGATGTTGATGTGAGATGTGACGTTTGTCCTCTTTGTCCCTCTTTGTCCGTATGTCATGGGGTTATATGTCATTCCTTATCTTTCATTGGACCTGGTCCAATGAAATTTTGGGACAAGTCTTTATGTTAAAGGCACTTGACGTAATTTTGATATATATTTCTATATGTTTCAAAAAACAGGTGGAGCTGTTGGTTTACGTTAGGAGAATTACTAGCTATTATCATATAGAGTTAATCCTTGTTTGGGACAATTTAAAAATGTTTAATTTTAAAATGCTTTAGTCAGCATTTCTTCTTTCTATGTAAACGTTGGTTGTTCAACTAATGTGTCCTTGTTCACCTAAGCATTATAGCATTTCAAGATTTTTAAGCTGTCAAACTTAATTTATCTGTATTGATTACATCTTTATATGTATGTATACACATACACACACATATTATATATATATATATATATACATATACATACACACACACTGCTCAAAAAAATAAAGGGAACACAAACAACAAAATGTAACTCCAAGTCAATCACACTTCTGTGAAATCAAACTGTCCACTTAGGAAGCAACACTGAGTGACAATCAATTTCACATACTGTTGTGCAAATGGGATAGACAACAGGTGGAAATTATAGGCAATTAGCAAGACACCCCCAATAAAGGAGTGGTTCTTCAGGTGGTGACCACAGACCACTTCTCAGTTCCTATGCTTCCTGGCTGATGTTTTGGTCACTTTTGAATGCTGGCGGTGCTTTCACTCTAGTGGTTGCATGAGACGGAGTCTACAACCCACACAGGTGGCTCAGGTAGTGCAGCTCATCCAGGATGGCACATCAATGTGAGCTGTGGCAAGAAGGTTTGCTGTGTCTGTCAGCGTAGTGTCCAGAGCATGGAGGCACTACCAGGAGACAGGCCAGTACATCAGGAGACATGGAGGAAGCCGTAGGGGGGAAAAAACACAGCAGCAGGACCGCTACCTCTGCCTTTGTGCAAGGAGGAACAGGAGGAGCACTGCCAGAGCCCTGCAAAATGACCTCCAGCAGGCCACAAATGTGCATGTGTCTGCTCAAACAGTCAGAAACAGACTCCATGAGGGTGGTATGAGGGCCTGACGTCCAAAGGTGGGGGCTGTGCTTACAGCCCAACACAGTGCAGGACGTTTGGCATTTGCCAGAGAACACCAAGATTGGCAAATTCGCCACTGGTGCCCTGTGCTCTTCAAAGATGAAAGCAGGTTCACACTGACCACACGTGACAGATGTGATAGAGTATGGAGACACCGTGGAGAATGTTCTGCTGCCTGCAACATCCTCCAGCATTACTGGTTTGGCAGTGGGTCAATAATGGTGTGTGGTGGCATTTCTTTGGGGGGCGGCACAGCCCTCCATGTGCTTGCCAGAGTTATCCTGACTGCCATTAGGTACCGAGATGAGATCCTCAAACCCCTTGTCAGACCATATGCTTGTGCGGTTGGCCCTGGGTTCCTCCTAATGCCAGACAATGCTAGACCTCATGTGGCTGGAGTGTGTCAGCAGTTCCTGCAATACGAAGGCATTGATGCTATGGACTGGCCCGCCCATTCCCCAGACCTGAATCCAATTGAGCACATCTGGGACATCATGTTTCGCTCCATCCACCAACGTCACGTTGCACCACAGACTGTCTAGGAGTTGGCAGATGCTTTAGTTCAGGTCTGGGAGGAGATCATAGAAACATAGAATGTGACGGCAGCTAAGAACCATTCGGCCCATCTAGTCTGCCCAATATTCTAAATACTTTCATTAGTCCCTGCCCTTATCTTATAGTTTGAATAGCCTTATGCCTATCCCATGCATGCTTAAACTCCTTTACTGTGTTAACCTCTACCACTTCAGCTGGAAGGCTATTCCATGCATCCACTACCCTCTCAGTAAAGTAATACTTCCTGATATTATTTTTAAACCTTTGTCCCTCTAATTTAAGACTATGTCCTCTTGTTGTGGTAGTTTTTCTTCTTTTAAATATAGTCTCCTCCTTTACTGTGTTGATTCCCTTTATGTATTTAAATGTTTCTGTAACGGAGCTGCCTGTACTCCAACCGAGTACCCTCCGTTGATGGATGCTCCTAGCGCTTCCTGAGGACTCCAAACACTGCAGCAGACACCACAACCACCCCAGACTCCACAACCGCCGTAGCTTAACTGGAGTCTCGCCGTCTTCCTTCCACCCTGGACCGTGTGGGGAAGACCTCTCCTCCAGGAGAGCGTAACAGGAACAAGCTCTTAAAAGAGCTAAGTGATTCAAGCTCAGGGAAGTATGCAGAGCATAGCAATCCCCAGTGTGAATATAGCAGTTCCCTCCAATAACGAGACAAGGCTACGTATTGAGGGTCAAGAAGATCTGTTTACTTGGCACCAAAGGGCCTTCTTTTTTGCAGGTTTAACACATACAGGACCGCCCACAGGAGTTTACAGAACAACCAATCATAAACGTACATTACAGAAACACTCCCAGCAATTACACACAAAAATCCTCCCCTCTGCCTGTGATCTAATTATGTTGCACAATGGTTTAACATAATTAACACAGGCAGTAAAAATACAGTTTTTATCCATACACTATAACTTTAAAACTATACATCCAATATTAATAAAACTTACATATTATTAATCAGCACACTTTAAACATAACTAAAAATCAGACAAATCCATCCAGGGGTTAAAAAGTTAGCTGGAGGTCTCTTTATGACCGACCGCAAGCACATTTTCCTGCCCAAAACAGTTCCATAGATTTGGGCTGTGCGGCCGGTCTATTTCAGGCTGAAAAAACGACTAAGTCCCATCGCCGGTTGGGACTTAGTCTCTGCAGCTGTAAAATCAGTAGGGGAGAAGGTAGAGCTCAGCGGTGTTCGTGGAAATGTGTAGCCGATTTTAGTTCCATGAATTTGGCTACACATACCGCTGACCTCGTTCGCATTAACAAAGATGGCCGCCGCCACGTATTGGGCAAACGAACAAAGGCCACCCAGCATTGTCAATTAAGCTGCGGTTAACCGCAGCTTCTGGGAGGTAAATTGCCTGCACACTTCCACTTCTGGGTGGTCTGCCTGTGTGGTACTTGTGTAAGAAATTGATATGGAAGTTTGTGTTTTCCTAAGCAGTCCAATCTACCAAGAAACCTAATCAACTGGTCTTTCAGAACGTTACAGTATAGCTGGAGGGAAGAGATCAAAGGGAAAGACTTGTGTAAAGACAGAACTCTCTTGAGAAAGAGGGTGGGATAAACCACTTTTGGGAGGGAAAAGGGATTCTGGGACTTGTAGTTTATTACTCCAAGAATCAGTCTTTAAAAGGACAACAACCAAGGAAGGCTCTCTCTCTTTCTCTCTCTCTTTGGAGAGGACAACGCAGCAAGCAGGGCCATGGTGAACTAAGAGAGGCTGTCCCAGATTACCCAAGATGAAGGCGCAAGGGGAAGACCTGCATTTAAATGTTTAAGTATTGCTTTTTATTATGTAGCTTTTGATTATGTACCGGATATAATGTATAATGTATATTGTGTATATCCTTTTAAAATCTAACAGTATCCTTAAATGAATATTTACAATACATTTTATTATACACTTGTGTTTATGTCTTATTTGTCACACATTCCCTAAAAGAATATCCTTGTAAGAGGGTCATAATTTCTTACAAATTGGCGAGCCAGGTAGGAGGGATTTAGTGTGATTTATGAGCATATTCATAATTGTATAGATTGTATATTTACTTTTGGATACTGTTCAGATATTGTGTATAGACATTTCAGTGAATTGTGCGTTGTCAATGATGGAGAGTTTATTGAAAAAGATTGCTAAGGTGTCTAATCCAGAAGCAATAATTAAATGTATGGATGGTGCATTAGATCCGTGGCTTAATGCTCAGGATTATGTGGCCAGGGCAATTATTGAAAAGAAATTGTCCAAATCTAGTGGTAAAATTGCT